AAAAATCTATCACCAGAGCCCTTTGTTCAGTCCACCACTGAATCAAGCAATAAAGAGATGACTGAACCGTGCATCCGCCAGGGGGTGGGATACAACACCTAGAAGCAATCTGTAACAAATGTACGTTGCAATGATCACAATGTATTCAATATTTTAGTAATCATCTTGTGTTAACAACATTTGCTGTCTGTGTCCCCCGAGACCCACCACCTGCTCTGGTCACGTCTGCATTGTTTGTATTTCCTACATCTTTATATGCCAATAAAAAATTTATTGAAAAATAAAAAAAATCATATTAACTAATAAAATATGACTGTGAGATCTTCTAGTGGCCGACAATTGAATAAAACTCTTCAAATGATCAAATGTTACTCCGTGTTTTGCTGCCTTGGGGTGATATAGCATGTGCACTGAGAAGAGAGTGCTGGAAGTGGGGGACAGTTTGTCTAAAATATAATGAAGGGAATTTATTATACCTGGAACAGACAAAATTTGGAGCAGCTGTGCATGGCAACCAATCAGCATCCGCCTTTTCATTTTGAAACCCTAACCCTGCCTTAGGCAACTGCTGCAGACTCTTCTGCTCCAGTTTTGATACATTTCCCCCCTCTCTGCCCCTGGAGATGTTTTAGGGGGAGACAGCTTTAGCACGAATTGTATGATCAGGGTGAGAAAAGATCCCGAGACTTTCAGGGTTATTCACTAAAAGGGTGAAGGGTTTGGAGTAGGTAAGGGAGGGTGCATGGCAGTGTTCCCATGTGCTCACACTCATTGAGCACCTCAAGTGTCATACATATGTAATACATATTTTTGGATGTGAGTACAGACATTCCTTTCTATCCCATAGTACAGGTCAGTGACCAGTCTGAAGCTCTCCTCAAACTGTGTCCGTCTCTCCTATATTGGTTCTATATGTCCAGTAAAGTATCCTATATACAAGTAAGCATTTAGGAATTGTGCACGGTAGAGTTGAGCCTGAGGGATCACTTTGACATCATTGGCCAGAGAAGGATCACTTTGATGCAGTTGACTAGAGAGGGATCACTTTGACACAGTTGACCAGAGAGGGATCACTTTGATGCAGTTGGCCAAAGAGGGATCACTTTGACATCATTGGCCAGAGAGGGATCACTTTGACGCAGTTGGCCAGAGAGGAGTCATTTTGATGCAGTTGGCCAGAGAGGGGTCACTTTGAAATAGTGGTTCAGACAGGGGCCACTTTGACATGGTTGGCCAGAGAGGGGCCACATTGACACGGTTGGCCAGAGAGGGGCCACTTTGACATGGTTGGCCAGAGAGGGGTCACTTTGACGCACTTGGCCGGGGAGGGGTCATTTTGAAGCAACTGGCCAAAGAGGGGTCACTTTGATGCAGTTGGCCAGAGGTTACTTTGATGCAGCTGGCCAGAGAGGGGTCACTTTGATGCACCTGGCCAGAGAGGGGTCACTTTGATGCAGCTGGCCAGAGAGGGGTCACTTTGATGCAGCTGGCCAGAGAGGGGTCACTTTGATGCAGCTGGCCAGAGAGGGGTCACTTTGATGCAGTTGGCCAGAGAGGGGTCACTTTGATGCAGTTGGCCAGAGAGGGGTCACTTTAAAGCAGCTGGCCAGAGAGGGGTCACTTTGATGCAGCTGGCCAGAGAGGGGTCACTTTGATGCAGCTGGCCAGAGAGGGGTCACTTTGATGCAGCTGGCCAGAGAGGGGTCACTTTCATGCAGCTGGCCAGAGAGGGGTCACTTTCATGCAGCTGGCCAGAGAGGGGTCACTTTGATGCAACTGGCCAGAGAGGGGTCACTTTGATGCAACTGGCCAGAGAGGGGTCACTTTGATGCAACTGGCCAGAGAGGGGTCACTTTCATGCAGCTGGCCAGAGAGGGGTCACTTTCATGCAGCTGGCCAGAGAGGGGTCACTTTGATGCAGCTGGCCAGAGAGGGGTCACTTTGATGCAGCTGGCCAGAGAGGGGTCACTTTGATGCAGCTGGCCAGAGAGGGGTCACTTTCATGCAGCTGGCCAGAGAGGGCTCACTTTCATGCAGTGTGCAGAGGGTTCCTTCAGAGTCTACAGGTGACCAGTGCACCTAGACTCCTCTACAGCCAGTAACAGATCGTCACGGCTCCAGAATTTTCTCTACAGCCCATGGCGGGACATGCTGGGGCTTGTAGTCGCCCCCGACATCTCCAGACACATTTTTTCCAGCTCTGCACTGGCTAATTTCCCGTAAAGTGAAAACGAGGAAATCCTGCCAGAGAAACCTCCTAAAGTTTATCCAAACTCCTCCCGAAAGTCTTTTTAAAGTTTCATTCTTAACCCCAGAAGAGGGTCCAAACTGTTTCTCCTTCCAATTTAACTCATGAGATGTTTTCTTCCTCGCCGGATTTTTCCGCCGAACGAGAGAAGAGCGTCTCCAGCAAACAATCTCTCTATCCATCCAACCCCCCC